GGACAGATGCCCTGGGTCCTTGGTGAGAAAGGCAGATCTGGTCCTGCTGGAGCAGCAGCGACCTCCACCCCGCTGCGCTCGCCCTCCCCGGGGCTGCTCCGCAACAGGAGAACCACGCTGGCCCAGGGGAGCACTCCTTACTCCTCCTTGCTAAAAATTAATATTATGATAGTGGGCATGAGTAAATTGGGAGTGGCAGGATAAAAAAAAATAAGCCTAAGATGTGTAATCTTTCCTGCAGCACTGCACAGATGTCACTTTCAAGAATTGCAGGGGAGAGAGGTGGAGGAAGGGTTTTCTCTTCTTCTGTCTGTTTTGCAAATTGAAGCCCACGAAAGCCATGGGAGTCAATGGAGTCACTCCAGCAGAGCCTTTAGCCTTTTCTTTTTCTGTAAAATGAAAGGAGGAAAGCAGGAAGAGGTTTTTTTAGCACTCCATTTTCCTCCTCCTCTGAAGCACCCACAGAGAACAGGTCTCAGTGCCTGTATCAAGCACATTGCAGTGCCCCAGCCTCAAGCCCCTCTGCTCTTGTGACTATGTAAATGGAATTTCGTGGAATGGGAGTCACAACAGAACCGAGAGCCTGGAAGCTGTCACACCCTTACAAAAGTACCATGGTCATCCCCACACTGCAGGGTTTGTTTCCAGCTGGAAGTAAATAAGAGGCCCTTCTCTGTGCCAGTCTCAGGAATGCTAGTGACTTCTCACTGCCCTTGGCTATCTTGTTTTTAATTTAAGAACCATGCAAGTGCACTTAAACATCATTGTTTACTGGTGTCATTGTTATCAAAGCAAGTAAAGACTTCAGCATCTGTATTGTCCTCGGGTTTTATTTTCATTGTGTCAGGCTACAATGGGACTTTGAGCATCTCGTTCTTGACTACAGGCACCATTCAACAGGAAATTGATTTCCATGGGTGACAGGCGTGGAGGCTCCATGGGTGAGGCGCAGGCAGCACCAATGTGCTGTGGGTCTCTATCCCTTTTCTTCCCAGGCTGGGGCTCTCAAACCCTGCCTGCCTCCTGCTGAACCCACACATCTTCCTCCTGAGCATTAAGATGTTGGTGCTGGAGCGTAGTTGGTGTTTCCCACAAACTGTACCTGCTCCCAAATTAGGCGAGCACTAAGGGAAGAGACAAGCACATGTGGCATGGGGGGGCAGAGATTTTTACAGAGAATAACTGACGATGCATCACCATGGACAGGAGCCTTGAGGGCAAAATACAGCGCTTGTCAGTTCACGTTTGTCTGCACTTGGAGAAGAGGCATTTTCAGGCTCTGCATCATGATAGCTGTAACAAGCTGAGTTGAGAGACTTCAATACATACCCAGCTATGAGTATGGACACTGATGAGAAAGCTTATGTGTGCCTACTCGCATTCATTTCATACGAGTAGACACTTAGCTCATTCAAAAATACAGCTGGCATGATAAGCCATTGAGAGTACAAAATACATATGAGGGTGTTCAGTTTTCAGTCAGGGTTATGCCATTTTTAATGGCCATATATTTACCCTGTCTGGTGCATTTATTCATTTTTGAGCCAAACTAGATTCAATGATTTTCATCGGGTTTTTTTTCACCTCTGTTGACATTGTCTGACAAGACTGTTCAGACTCAGGCTGCTTAGGAAAAATAAACTTTGGTGCCAGATTTTGAGCCATCAGCAGTGTTCACTCTCATCTTTATTCTATTATTCTGTTGCAAAGGAACTTTCAGCTCAGGAGCCACAATGGAAAGAAAACAACTCCAGCTCCTTTTTTTTTTTTTCCCCCTTCTCCTTTTTCCCATCTTGTGATCTTAACCCAGCTGGTGAGGGAGAAAATTCCCATGTGAGGCATGTGGGTGGAGCCCAATTGTGTAAACTCCATGCTTGCAAAGTGTTTGGCATGGATCCGCTGGCTGGCTTTGTTTTCCGTGGCCGGACACAGAGGGAAGCCACATTCAGCACATTAACAGCTGCCACCTGTTGCTCTGTTCTACTTCAGAGGAACCCTGAGCCTGGGGAACCGCTCTGTGCTCTGGCCCTTGACCTCCAGGGAAGTTTGATCTATCTGGGATGTGCATTTGTCCCCACGTTTTTCTTGCTTTTGCAAGATATGATGCTGGTGGGTTTGGGAGTCCAGATGGAGAAGAGATCCTTGGAGCAATTTGAGCTGTGCCCTCCCCTGGGAGGGACCTTCAAGCTCCATTTGATGTCTCTCCTGAAGACAAACTCTTTGTGGTTAATTCACTGCAATCAGAAATTTCCCTGGCACACACTACTCCAAAAATCTTAACTGTGTCAAACCTAAGTACAAGGCATAGCAAGAAAATGTGAAAAGAAAGAAATTATTAACCTTGCCAATGACATTTGTAGGACCATCAACAGATTTTTCCCCTTTTTGAGCAGTACAGCTTAAATTGATCTCCATTCCTATGCACTTTCCTGTTCATATGTAAAGCACAAGGAGGGAAAAAAAGCAGCAGATCACTAATGCAGCTAATTCTCAGTATCTTGAAGCAATTGACACAAGTACATGAATTAACTCATCACTTTATATCACATACTTGAGGCAAATGTGCTATTTGGAGTACCTCTTGGTAAGAATAAGCAATTTAAGATCCATTAGTATTTGGAATATTCTGTTTCATTAAAACCACAGTCATCCCTAAATGCAGATGAGTGAAGAGGAGCTATCAGCTTCGTGGTTGTACTAGACAAACTTAAAAACACTTTTTATTACAGGGTACTGTGAAAGGGTTTTAACACAAATAAAAGCCAGGCCTTGGGTTTCCAAAAGAGGGTTCTCCTACCTTGGGTTGAAGTTTCTCGTAGCTTTCATAAGTTTGAAAATTATAATGTGAGTTGGGGGGAGACAGAAATTCTGGTGAACAGTTTTTAAGCTTTTAATATAACACGAGAGCAGTTTTTCAAAACACAGTCTGCTACTTGTGCACCAAAATTCATTCTCCTTTATAATGGCCTCAGTGCCTAGGATTATGGGAAAGCTGGAATTATTTTTTAAAATAATAAATACCTATCCTCTGTTTTCATTCAATTTCCAAATAAATCAGGGCCCCTTTGCCCTGGGCTTGACCTGTAGAGTTTTAAGATCAAATCATTTTCATTTATGATACTGTGTTCTAAGAAGTTTTATAAATAATACAAAAGTACTTGCTTCAGATTTTAATTAGACTTGTGATAAATCTATAGCACACTGAACAAAATATATATTAAAATGATTTTTTAAACACTTACTGTACAGACCAAGGAAAGAATCCTTAAAAACTTCTGAAAAAAAAAAAAAAAGAATGTTTTTTTCCTCAGTTCGGTCACATTCAACCCTCAAGAAGTTCCTCAACTTTACAAAGCTATTTTTGTCTAAGCAGCAAAGGTAGAAATGTTACAGAAGTCACAGGAATTTCTGGAAAAACTAAATCCTTTCACTTTGCTGCCTAATTTAGTCTTAAGTCTTTCCCAAATGTTGAAATACACTTTCAGGGCCGGAGACCCCACAATTCACACAAAACTGGAACGAGAGATGGGCACTATTTCACTACAGAGGAGGGAACAGTTGGGTCCTGGCTAACACAGGGTACAACCTGCCTCCCACCCTCCACCAGGGGCCCAGTCCAACCCTCCCAGGAGCCACTGACTTAGGAGAAGCTGCCATCCAGAAGCACAAAAGTGCATCAGGGCACAAAAGTGCATCTGTGCTGCGGACACCATGCTGCTGGGAGGATGTCCTTCTGCCACTCAACCCTTGGAAGAAAAATCACTTCCTGATTGACAAAATTTACATGATAAGACCTCGTGTCCTGCTGAAATAGCACCACAGAGATAAACTGATGTCACTGTTACCCTGGCTGACAGGCTTGTAGAACATGTCAGAAAGAGTAGGCGTCCTGGCTAGGCACCTTGAGAGGATGCAATGCATCCCATGGCTACTTGATATCCATCACATGGCTTAGGTCAGGGCCAGATTTACTCCAAAAGATTCAAAAGCTACTTTCTGTAATCAAACAAAAGCACTGGATTCTGGTGAATCAGGATTAGTGTTCTGCAGCTGTAGGGGAGATATTTTATAATTAAGCCAGCACCCTCCAGCAGATCTCAGTTGGAGGTACCAGCAGTCTTAGGCAAAAACTGGTTTGAAATCAGCCTTGCTTCTGGCTGAATAGCTCTGCTGGTGTTGAAGAAAAGTCTGCGTGTTTCTATGGCTCCCACACAGCAGAAGCCCACCTAGAATACCTGGAAATGTGGACCTAATACATCTTTATTTTCTTGCTTTTTGTTTATCTGCAAATCTATGACTCTGCAAAAACAACAACAAAAACAACAACAACAAAAGGAGGCCTGTTTACGAGAGTGGCTGCAAAGTTAACCATTAATTTTCTGCTCAAATGCATGGACACAGTGGAAAATGATCCTTAAATGACAGAGCAGAAGTCAGGTTAAATCTGAAATTCCTATGCTGTTCACTTTTCTAGGTTATCACTCCATGTATAGAGGTAAGATCTTTGTCAGGAACAAGGCCTGGCTGGATTTTGATAAATTTGCAAAAAACATTGGCCTGAAATCTGAGGATCTTCCACCTGACTCATAAGCATTCCATGTCAGTATCTCTGGTAAATGTCTCAAGCATTTGAACACAGAAATGCTACCAAGGGTACTTCCCTCGCAGCTGAATTAAGCTGTGACAACAGATTGTGGAAGTGTGTTTTTTTGTAATACTTTATCTTGTAATTGTCCTTTTTTTTAATGTCTACTTATGCAGGGAAGAAGGGCAAAGTCCCTTCATGTTGAACAGGTCTCAGGGCAGTTGGTTGTTTATTTCCCTGAAGCTACAGAGTGTTTCTGCATCAGGGTGAGACTGAGGTTTGTGTCAGGCAAATTCCACAATCATGTTATTTTTAAAATCATGTCTGCTGTTAGTTTACCCTGGCTGACAGGAATGACCCCCTTTCCCATCTCTGCATTCCTACACAATCTGGCCAGCAATAGCTGAAATTTGATAGCACACACAGGTATAAATTTAGTCAACTGTTGGATTTTGGTTGTTTCTTGGCCACAGCCTGTGGAGTCCATGGGCCTGAAATGATAAAATCAAGTGCACCTTCTTACCTTGTTGCTTCACACTTGGTTCAGATTTGAAAGAGATTTTGGCAACTCTGAGAGCCATGAAGCATTTTAAAGTGATTAATAAGACTGCACACTTAGAGCAAAGGATGACTCCTGCAGGACTCTGCCTACATTTCTTGTTAGCATCAGATAACAATTCATCCAAGTAAAGTAGATAACTAACAGATTTTTTCTATGCATCCATAACAAAGTCTAAATGGCAGGAATAGCAGCAAAGTGCTTAAATGCGCAATAGTTTCAGAACAAAACAGATTAAAAGAAACAGTCCCTTAAAGAAAACAAACCTATGAATATTATAAGTCCCTGCTGAGGTCTCCAAACCACAATTTTACCTGTCTAAACACATGCAAGATTAAACTGTATTTTCATTTTCCCACCATCTCCTCAGCTGCCTGGGTGACACGTGCCCTTCCCACTTGCTGTCACCCTGGAGAGCCCGTGCCCTGTACATCCCAGTGCCACTGACACAGGAGGCTGTGCCTCTTCAGGCCACCTCCCAGGGCTCTGGGTATCAAGGAATCACAGCCAGATCCCACAGTGGGCTCTGGTGCCAGGGCCCTGCTGCCCTGGAGCTGAGTCTGTGGCAGCCCGTGTCCGGCGGGTCCCCGGCGGTGCTGCTGCCCAGGCACAGGAGGGGGATCCTGTTCCCTCACAGATGGCTGTGTGCAGCCAAGGGACATGTACCACTAAAAGGCAGGATGTTTGGCTGGAGGCTGCCAGGCTGGTACAACCTGATCAGGCTGGCTAGTGCCACACATCTGTGTGCTGTTCCCGAGGATCACCGCAGCGGTCCTCAGGAGCAGGAGCAGACTGCTGTGACCTGTTACTGCTGTGCTGACACATTGCCTTTTCCTGTTTTATGTCCTCAGCATCTTTATTGAGAAAACACCACTGTTGCTTTCCACGCCACCTGTGTAGTTTATCTTTTTTTTTTTTTCCTCTTCTAATGCATCTCTTTGCTGTAATTTTGAGTAAATTTTCTCCCTTGCTTATCTGTGGTTTTTACCAGCAACACAATATGAAGAGAGTTCCAGCCACTTGATAATGCTAGTGGCAAAGTAGTCCTTGTTTCCTTAGAGCAGAAAGCTGCCTGTGCTCACACTGGAAAATAGTATATTGTCAGAAATCCATTGTTGCTTTTGTGCCCTGTACAGCATTTCTCTTTCTTCCCTTTGAGCAGTCACAATCAGCAGTAACTTGGCCACAAACCTGTGCAGCCCATGGCCTGAAATTAGAGTAATAGAGCAGACTGAAATTCCTGGAGCTCCTATTTTAGACTCTCTCCAAATGCAAGTGGACTTTCTTACTTCACACTCAGTTTTGAAAGAGATTTTGGCAAGAGATCGTGCAGTCCCCTTACTGTGTGTAAGGAAATGAAAGCACTTACTGTGATAGCAGCAATGCCTTACCCAAACAGGCCAAGAGACAGGGAACTCTGAGCTAGTCAAACTGCTGAGCTTGAAACAGATTTATGAAAACATCTGTATTTATTTATTTGTATATACATTTCCCATCCTCATTTCACCTGCCCCAGTAACGTGATATTCATGCAAGTCTATTCCTTTGTTGCATTTTTGCTTCACTTCCTGTCAAATTATTTCATTTTATTTAGGCTTCACCTGCCAAAATACATGAGCTAATTCTCTCTGTGATGACCTGCCACTTCTTCCTATTCTCCAGCGACAGGATGCAGCAACTGCATGCCTGCAAAGCCTGTGCCATGGAAATCACCTGGGCATCTCTGCATACACAGAAGCAGAGAAGACAGACCCAGTCTGAAATGCCTTGAACCAGCTTAACTCTGCTCTCAGGTGCTGCCAAACAAGAAACCTCCTCTGCCCACAAACATGGTCCCTTCACACCTTTCATCTCAGGGCTGCCAAATGTTTAATGTTCAGAGACACATTGGACACCACCATCTCTCTGAGTTTATCCCTCACCTAAAACATCCTCTGGAGGGATACTTCTGTAGGGTTTCAATGAATGAAACAACATTCTGGAATAATGCAATATGTTCTGATATCCTCTTACTAATTTTTCTAATTCTCTGAATTGACTGCATACTGCCTGACTAACGGCAGCTGCAAAGGAAGGAACTCTCTGTAATACTGTGGTATTATTTTTGGTCATTTTTATGGCTTTGATGCTGGTAGTTATAATTTATCTGACTTCTCAGTCAATGTGCAGAGCTCCTGTGGCCCCATGCCACCTTGCAGCACAGGAAGCCCTTGCCTGGCCAGTCCAATGGCTGTCCAGCAAGTCATTACTTGCACTGGGAGTGGTGAAATGCAAAGCCAGAGTATCTTGTAAACAGATCCCTCTTTCATCTCCTCTACAGAAGTGGGTGAGTGAGAATTGGTGTTACACAAGGCTGCGTTGATGCTGTTCAAAGTGATGAGTTTTACCCTTAATGTTATACTGAGGGAACCCATGTGGTGGCCAGTGATTGATTACCTTCACAAAGCTCATTTTCACTCAGCGGTGGTGAGTTTCAGAAGGGTGATAATAACAGATATCATTGCCTAAGTTCTCTCTCACAGGTTTTCCACTGTCCCATGGAAATCAAAAGGTGATTAATTCCTCTAACAGCTTTTGTGGCACTCTGGAGAAGTTGACATAAAGTGGAAGATCCTGAATATTTACCTGTAGGAGCCAAAACCCATAATGGGTATTTAATAATGAAAACTGAGGATATGACATCAGCAAAGAACTGGAAGAATGTCTGCAAAGAAACAGGAACAAGGCTCTCAGCAGGGATTCAGGATGTCCACAGGACCAGGAGTGAACAGGAATTCTATGTCCAGCTGTAAGCTTGTGTGCTTGAAGAAACAGAATCAGAGCTAGAGGCTTTGGAAGGATGCTTGTCTGACCTTGGAGAGGCAGGTTGCACAACCTGAATAAGAAAAAATAGATGACTCACGTTACCTGTTCAAATAGGGAAATGCTCCTCTTCAGGAGTTTTAGCTGAGGGTCTTCCAAGCATGAAGCTTCTTAAAAAAGGACAAAGCATACAGATTGTCAGACATCCCAAAGGGGTGAAGGAAACACCTGCTGGGGGCAGTTTGTCAGGAGTGCGCCATCCTCTGTGGCCAAGGGCCCTGTGGAGGCTGAGGCAGGTGCACTCCCCTGTCTAAGGGGGTCAGATTAGCAGCTCTCTCCTCCTCACAGGCGGTACCAACCACAGAGGCAGCAGTGCTGGGTGAGGGCACTGTTATCCCTCATCCTCTCTGGCTTCCACGCGAGCAGCAGCAGCTGTTCCACCCCCTGCCCCTTGCCGGAGCGGCGCCTCACGGGGCGCGCAGTGCCAGTAGGAAATGGAAGTAATGAGCCTCAATTAAGCAGCTCCCCATACAGTCATGGATGAGCTTGTCCCAGCAAGAGTAACCAGGCCCAGGGACTCTGCAGGGTGGTTTTGTGATGTGCAGCTGGTTCAAAGCCATTTGTGGAATGCTGAATATTCCTCCTCCCTGTGGGACACACTTGCCCTTTTGAGTACCACACACATGGGGTGTAGCCAGGGGGGGCACAAAACAGAGGATATGAATGCCATCCTTTTTATACAGGCCTGTTTTTATACATGCCTGTTTACCAAGGAGTAAGAATAGACAAAGGGAGAAAAGGTCTCCACCTTCATAAAAATCATGAAGGCTTTGGCTGACATAGCACTGGTTTGGCCCTGAAACAAAATTTGGGCCCCATTTAGCTTGGCTCTCGTTACTGTTTATGCAGGACAACACTTACCTTCACTCAGACAGCCAGCACAACATTTTGCGTCTTCTTCCCAAGTGAGTCTTCAGTGTGGGATTTACAGGGTGGCCAGAATTTATGCAGCCTTTTCCCAGCAGGATATTTCTGCAGTAATATACAGATCTGAAAAGATAAACCATTTATTGTCATGGAGAGTATGTAGGGAGTTTAAAAAAAAAATAAAAAATATTTTTACATTCTGTATCATTACCCTTGGTATGTTGTTGGCTTTCTTTTTCTCCCCACCAGGCATTTTTTTCTCCAGCTGTTTTCAGCTGTGCTCCTAAACTTCCAGCCATGATCAGGGGACATCAGCCTCTGCTGTCTCTGAGGTCAGGCCACAGAAACTGTGCTTATTTCCTTCAGGAAAGCAGTGCTGCTTTCAGTAGATTTCACACTTTTTGCAACATGTGAGTCACCAAATTGACTTTTGCTAAAAGAGCATAGAGAGTTTGCAAAACTCTACATATATAGGCTTGTACTCAGTGATTAGAGGAGCAGCAGCGTTCACTGCAGAACATTCATCTGGACAACTGCTGGACCTGGGGGGGGTTTGGGCAGGAGGTGGACCCCTTAAATGGTGGCATTCAAAGGAGATGAGAAGATTAATTAATTCAAGGGTTCCAGGTATTTTAGGAAAGGTTTTTACTGACTGGCAGTAGGACAATGTTTGCATAATTGCCCAAGCATGCAGCCTTTGAATAATAATAATATTGCTGTTCTCTGAGATACACTTTGTTTTCAGAAGTGACCTGATATCAGCAAAAGCAAAAGACTCAATTTCACAGTTACTTCGAAACAAAAATAATTATGGGAATGCATGCAGAAATTAAAATCTATTACTGGCAATTTATGCTAAGAAACTAAATGACCCCTAAAGCTAGACAATTTCAACCATTTCAGATTGGTTATCCTCTCTGTATCTCTATTTAGGCCTGAGATCTCATCTTCAACTACTCTAATCCCATTCTTTTGCTGTCTTCCATCATGTTAGAGATATTCTAGATCTTAGACAATGTGTATACCCAATAAATGTAATTAAAATGTAACTACAACTATCTTTTTAATTTTCCTTATCACAAAAAAAAAATTACATATTGAACCCTACCAAACTTTATGGATGTGTTTCTCATTTTGAGTCTTGTGCATTATCCACTGAAGACAAATAGGATAATTTCCCACAAATACAGAGAACACTGGCACAAATAATACAGCAGCATAAAAAAAAAAGCCCATTTAAAAATTGCAGGGATGTGAGAATCTCTTTGACTGAAGATGTGCAAACCCCAAATCACTGAGGAACCTACTCATCAGCTTTCAACCTTCCTGATAACCACCCAAAGAAAGAGAAGCTTCTTTTTCCTGTTCTACCTGTATTTTCAGCTGCCTAGAAAACAATAACTACAACTTATCTTTCCATATATTTGTTCCTTCCAAAAAGAGCAAACAAGCCACTGTTAAGCCCTGTTAAGCCATTTTTGGGGGATCACCTTCAGAGACCCCTGAGATTTATTTGTTCACCTTATTTGGCAACAGCTCATCAGCAAAGTATTTCTGGAAGAAAGACAGAGCATCTTTTTGTGGTGCTGTACTAGAGCTCTGTGTTTGTCCTCTTTCCTTTAGTGAGTAGCAATAGCACCACAAGTCCTGGCAGGCTTGGGGAGCATCATCAAACTGTCCATCAGGCAGTGGGGAAGGATCTGACAGTGACTTACAACTGGAGGGAGTGAGAGAGACAACATTTACCTCGAGGGCTGAGCAATCAGAGAAGATAAAACTGTGATCTGTGTCTGTGCACAGCGACCTTCTTGGCTCCCTTCAGTTCTCACTGACAATTCCTGGGCTTCCACCACTGTGACCAAGGGTGGAACGTGCACCTCCTCCAGCCCTGTTCTGTCCCTGTAAGGAGCTGCAGATGATGCTGTCCCCTGCCTCAAGGCTGAGGGCCAGTCTGCTGATGCCATTTCTGCCATCAACACCATCAAGGAGGAAAAGGTTGCAGTAGGTCTGACCAAGTGTTCAGCGTAGAGGTGTGCTGTCAGTCAGCTGCTCGGCTTGGTTCCACTCCAGATCAGCTGGTAGGAAATGAGGGACAAAAAGAAAGTATTCAGCAATGAATCCTAGCATTTTTATTTTCCCTCTCTCCTCTGCAGTCCTCACCCACCTTCATTTCATAGCTTTGCTGCAAAGAGCTGAAGAGAAAAAGAAATGGTTTGAGTCTAAAGCTATTTTTGATGATGTAAATGCACAACCATTTACACTTTCAAGAATTCAAATCTGCAGTTTCAACATGGAATTATGCCAATCACATTTTCTATCTGGCTAAATTAATTGTTAGGAAATAGTAAATAAGGATAACACAGGACCACTTGGAAATGGAAGGACACTGGCCTTTCCTCCATGGTTTATTACTGTCCTCTGGTCCAAACTGAATTGAGCTTATGTTCTCTTGCCATAAGAAATAGTTTTGCTTTAGAAAAAGGCTCAGAAGTGGTATGAGGATCTCACTCATTTATTTCTCCTAGGAAATACACTCTTTTGGTCTCCTCAGAGGGATGTGTCTTTGTAGGCAGGTTCAGAACTGCCAAGGGAGGGGAAAACCAATCATTTCCAGCTTCATGATCATGGTTTCAAGAATCATCTTGACTGGGCACTAGCATTAGCCTCTGTATATGTGTCTGAAGGAAGGATAGGTTCTCAAAATAAGTAAAAGGCAAATTCAAAGAAGAGAGTAATCTCTTCTTTATCCTCGGTGTGTAGGACAAGAAACAGGCTTACCTGCAGCTAGAGGTGTTAAAAGACAGCAAAGTTCTGTTTGAATCTTTTCAGAATCCCGGAGAATTTTCTCAGAATCCCTGAGAAAAATCTACCCAATGAAGGGTGGAGTGCCTGTTGGTGGAGGTGCTCGACAAGGCACTGCTCCTGAGGAGATGCAGATATTGTTAAGAACAGAATAAATAACCTCTTGGTAGACACTCCACCCCTATGAATGACAAAAACATTTTACTCACACTAGGTTTTTTTGTTTCTGAGATCTTCTAGCACTGAGAGCAGTGACAGAATATCTCAGTTCTTCCTGCCACACGTCACATGAGAGTACACCAAAGGCAGCAAGGAAAACAGACAGGGAAAACATAGCCTCAGAGCATGAAACATGGAAAATAAGGATATGCTGATGGCATGTGAGCCGTCCTTCAGTCTCCAGGTGAAATCCTGGGCCTTGGCAGGCACAAAGACAGCTCCTGGGTGTGAGTCTGCCTGACACCAGAACAGCTGGTAGCACAACCATCCTGCGGGTCATCCAGACAGTTCAGGGGTCTCCTAAACTTTATGAGCAATTATTCAGCAACACCCAATAATTAAAAACAAACATGCTGCAGGTAACAGGGGGAACAGCTGACAAAGTCCAGGAGTAAAGTCACCAGCTAAAAAAATGAACAAAACAGGCTGAGGCTGGAATGAGGCAGGCTCCACGTGAACCGATGGCTGCCAGTGTTGCATTTGTACACCAAGAACTTTTCATTTTAGTGCCCTTTTAGAGAAGCTGAAGATATCCACTAACCCTGAGAACAAACATATCATTTTAAAGCAGAATAGGTCTGTAAGACTTTTTAACACTTGTTCGTT